GGTCTCTGTGATTCGCTCAGATTTACCTTTGCCAGGGGTGCTTTTTCTCCTCTCCCCAGCCCCAGCCTCTCAAAAGGGAATCACAGTCATGTCTCCATCCTGCTTTTTGTCAGTGCAGTGACTCCCAGGATGAGCAGCTCCAGCCCAAATTGAACAGCACTGAAACTCTAGTCACCTCGGATGGAGATGTCAACTGCCCAAACCACTTAGGACTGTCCTTGGAGCACTGGCCACACACATACAAAGTTTGGCTTTCCTACACAGGAGTGGGAATATCACCCAAGAGCAACTCTGCCCAAGTGTGGCAAATTCACCCAGCATTGCAGCCCAGCATAATTAAACAGCATTCTCATTCACGTCATCTCCTGGCTTTGGCATAGGTTTTATTATAGTCATTACAAAGACAGATATTACTTTTGGATTGACTCACTTGATGGGTTGATCAGCACTTTATTGTAGCCTCCAGTTATAGCACTTTTTATGGCATCCAGAAGAACTTAACCATTAGCACACTATTAGGAAGAGCACTGGCAGCTGATTAAGTTGCTGAAGGTCAAAGACATTTGTCTTAATTGCTTCATGTGTGCTCCCTCCTCCTCCTCCCCCTCCGAGGGAGCTGGAGGGAGATCATTCTGTTTCAATAATAAAGTCACAGAGGCATACCTCATATTTGCCATCAAATCTCCAGGGAGAGGCTTATTCACCATTCCAGAACTTGTCTAAACTGTTACGGTCTCGCTGCTCAATTGAAGTCTTTGAGGTTTTCATGGCATGCATTGAAACTGAAAAGAAAAATAAAAGCCATCAGGGTGACTTATTGTGTTGGTTAACACATATTGCAAATAATGTGCTATTAGGGTCATAACGAAGCGAATGCATGGATATGCTGAAGGCAGGTTTCTATCTTTGGGAGGAAAGATGATTTTCTAGCCTCTGGTACATTCCACCTGCAAAAGCTCAATAGTCCTGGTGGCCTCGCACATTTCAGTCTCAGGCAGATGTTTAGCTGCTCATGCAGCTCCATCTTTCAGCTCTGGACTCATCTGACCCAGCCAAAGTCACAAAACCATCAGAAACCTCATTCCTCACTTCTTCTGACTCTACCAGCTCATTCTTCCCACCAGGGTTTAGTCTAGCATCAAAGTCAATGCTAGAGGGGAAAGGAGAGATCAGCACCAAAGGGTACAGAGTAGCTCTATTGCAGGTTAAGTCAACCTTGCCACTTCAAGAATCCTTTCCCTCAGGGAAGTCAGTGAGGAATACCCAGTTACTCATCAGCAAAGAGGTGTGAGGTTGAGGAAAGGACTTCAAGCCTGGTCATAGGTAGTATAATACTCCTGCTGAGCACCAGAGGAAGGTTTGACAGATGGAGATGTGCTTCCCCCAACTGTTTTATGCCAGCTCCAGCTGCCCCAGCTTTCCCACCAATCCCCTTTGAAGGGAAACGATTAAGGGTTAAACTTGAGCCTAGTTCCCATGGGAGGGACTTCAGTGTTTTCTACTTCACTGTTGCCTGGATCAGGTAAGACCAGTTGTGGTCAGTTACTGTGATGCCTGGACCTGAGCATGGCATCCAAAGAACCTATGGCTTTCCTAGCCCTACAGCAAAGAGATCCTGAAGATGTGGGATGTAGCTGACCACAGAATGCTCACCAACCTGCGGCAGAAGGTGTGAATTACGGAGCTGACATCCACTGCAGATACACTTGTTCCTCAGTCCCGCCAGCTGAAGGCAACCAGGCAAGTCAATAATCTTCATGTCCAAGGATATTGGAGCTAGAGACAAGATGTGACAACTTTAAACACAGAAGTTTAATCAAGCGCTCTATTTCCTTGGCTAGAACTTCTCACTGACACATGCCATGTCCTGCCATGGCTCTTCTTCAGGAATTCCAGCTGCAGAAAACATGCAGAGTCACATGAAGGGTCCACTTTTATGGGAATTGTCAGTCATAAAAAGGACCGCCCCATCAAACTGTTGTATCTTAGGAAAGACCCTTATCACACCTAGAACTGGCTTTGGAATTTGCTTGTTTTCCTGGATTTTCCTCTTAAGTCAAGTTTCATTATTCTGTTCTTTCCTGTTACATGTGAGAATTTATAAAATATGCTTCCTTCAACCTACTTCAGCTCATTTTTATCACTGAATTCAATAACCTCAGAATAAGAACAATCCTCTCTTCTCCCTTCTCCTCTTAATTAAGATGCTTTTAAGCATCTCCCTTTTCTTCTTCCCTTGGGTGATACCTAATTAGCTCTTGTAATTAAAACTGTGCCCGAAGGGCTGAGCTTTGCACAGATGTTGGCTTTGTTCCAGGCAATGCCATGGGGTTACTGTGAGGCTCGGGTTCTTCCTCAGCACTTGAGGGACCTTACGGAAGATTCCAGCAAGGATGGGTTCTGAGGTTTTGGGATCAGGGCCTTGGGGGACTTTTCTGGATGTCTGGTATTTTAAACTGGTTTTCCAGATTTGTTGACTTCCAGTATTTCCTTCTGGAGTACCCACCAGTGAACCCAGAGTTTCCCCAAGTGAATGATTTCCCATCATTCAGACAGAGATCAAGTTTTCCTTTGTTCATTGATCTTAGAACCAGAAAAAAACCCCACCAACCCATCCAAAAATGGATTAAATTTTCCCCCTGTTTGGATGTCTTCCTTCAAGCCCACATGCTGTAGCAGGGCTGGGGAGCATCTCCTATAGTCCCACCGACAGCAAATGTGATGCTCCCCTTGTGCTGCCATGCGTGCAGCCGGCTGGGCCTCAAGCTGCCCAAACAGGGATGCTTTGTCCTCTGAGACCAAGAGCTCCCTAAGGTCCTTGTGTGACTTAAGACAAACTTGCTCAGGACCATTCACAAGACTACACAGCCTCCCCCTTCTCCCCCAGTTTTGCTGTCTCAATCACTTTCACAGTGCTCTTGGGCACCTGCATTTCTTTCACTTCATCCATCACCACCCAGCCATCAAAGAAGAAAGAAAAATGCTATCGACTTTTGTCATTATTTATTACAAATTATATTTTGCAAATTACTGTCTGGAAAAATCAATAGATTTAAATAAATACACAGATTTCAAGATGCTACATATGGCATGTGTGCAATAAGTCACTTAAAGATGAGACGTTACACACATAAGGAGATATACATAGTACTTTACAGCAGTAGTTTTATTTTAAATTACTAGGCTCACATTAAACCATGTGCAAAGTTTCCTCTGGAACAAACCCTTTAAGGATTATTCTGTTTTTTTTTTAGAATGACTCAAACCTTCAGAAGGTCAAATATAGAAAAGATTCTCTGCAGCTTTGGGGACCAAATGATGACTCTGCTCTGTCATTTGCAATACAATCACTTGGTCTCATTTTTTCCCCCCTTTAGGGCTTAAAGCAAAAAATCAAAGCATTTTGTATGTCCAATGGGACTACGCTTGCAACAGCCACAGATTTTGGTCCACCACCAACTTCAAGCAGCCTTTTAAAATGCTCATGTGTAATACTGGATTGGGCAGCAAGAGGGACCCAACAGTGGTTCCAGGAGAACAATTATTTACCTGCACTAACTGGATCTGCAGCCACGATTTATAATGTAAGTTAATCTGCCCAGACAAACAAAAGTGCATTTGTGGTACAGCTCCAGAGCCTCGAGATGGGTTTGCCTGTAAGATCAGTTCCTAGGTCCTGGCCTCAGTGCTTATTCCAAATTACTCCTTCCCTTTGGGCCAGCAGCTCCGTGCTGCTCCATGGCCTGGGAAACAGCCATAACTCTGGCATTGGTTTAAATCCCAGCCTGCCTTCTAAAGCCGTGCAGACAGTGCTGTGCTCTCTTCTTCCCAATCCTTCCCTCCACATCAATCCCACCAGGCTGCCCCTTGCCTAATGCATTCTCTGTTCAGGTTACGCTTCTCATAGTGACGTGCTACCCATATATTGGTCATTTATTATATAGAGTCCGACTCCAAGACCCGATCTAAGCAAAGCAGCAAGCAAGCCTTTGCGTGCTATTTTCCCACCACCCATCTTCTCTGCCCCGGCCTTTCCTGGCAGGCAGAGCTGAGAGGAAGCTGGGATATTAGGTTAAGAGCTGGACGTACTCTACCCCACTAAGGGTATGTCCAAGGAGATGAGACAGGGAACTCATCCAGACCTGCTTGGACCCAGTGGGGCTCCCTTCCCCAGACTACATGCATGGGGCTCCTGCAGAAATGCAGCTCTGCTTCAGCCTCCCCCCTGCTGCTGCTGCTGTGCTGAGTGGCAGGGGTCATGCTTGGATTTGATGCAAGCTCCAGTGTAAGCAAGCTGTCCTCCACCTAAAGGAGAGCCACTTAAGGACTGCCCTTCAGTGAATTCCTCAGCCAAGGAACGCCACTGACTGCCCAGCTGGCTTTCAGGCTTCTAGACGATACACTTGTTTTAATAAAACCTGGGAGCTGTTTTACCATGGGAGTCTCATTCACATGCACATCACACTGCCTGGCAAGTAAGAGAAGAAAGTGCAAAGGCAGGCTTGCGCTGGAGGCAGCTTATCCCTGTCTACAATGACCAGCCAATCCACCTTTAAGTGCGGCCAAGCTGGGACCATGCTTGGACATGGCTCAAAGGCAGAGCAGACCAGGCCAGAGCTATGGGCTCAGGACTGCCAGGTCCAGAACTGCACAGAGCCACCTGATTTCTATGTGATTCAGCTGCCCAGCATGGGCTGACCCTCTGCCTAAGACTCCAGTGCAGAGTTAAGCTAGTATTCCTCCAGCAAGACCCTTGCCTGATCCAAAAAGGCACAATTCAGCTCCATGACACATCTGTGACTGTATGGAGAGACAGTTTTCCCTTTACAACAGTCTCTGGAGTGCATTCAGTACTGGTTCACGCAACAGGAGCATGGAGACTTCCACTTCTTCCCCCTTCCGCTCATGGCCTTTCCTTCAGCTCTAACTACCGACAGCGGAGTTAGTGGCACCCACAGGACTCCCAGATTCTTCTGGTGAACTTGGCATGCACCTGTTTCTTATCTCTTCTTCTTCCAGATGCTTTTCTTCCAAGGCAAAACTGTTGGCTGTGCGCTCCTCTGGGAATGCTGCTGCTGCTTGCTGGACTGCAGCCTGGAGATGGCAAGATCCCTGCAAACAAAGAGGAGACACGATGGTCATTCTCCAGTCCCTTTTCCTCCTACACAGCAACATCCTGTAGCATGATATTGATATACCCCTTGCCAAGATGGGTTGTGAAGCAGAAGATGGGGGAAGGAGGAGGGAGAATTTCTAGCTGCAGCTGTATTAAGCCACAGCGGGGATCCATCCAGCCCAATATCCCCTGTCCAGTGGTGACAGAGGACCCAAGGAGCCCTGCAGCAGGGTATGGCCCAAGTGATGCTTCCCCAGTTCTGCCTTTCAGAAAGCATTCCCACTGCATGTGATTTAACTGTCACTAACAGACCGATGTGTCCTTCAATGTGTCAACTCCCTTTAACTCATTTACATTCCTGGTGTCAACAGTTTCTTCCAGCAGCAAGTTCCACAACTCACTGATGTGAGAAAAGCTTTTGGTCTAAAGTTGCTGCCCAATCAAGTAGTTCCTACCTGATGCTACCCTTCCCTTCTTGTATGTCACCCATTCGCCCATTCCATACCAGAGGAACTTCCCACTGCAATAAAGAATCACATCATATTCCTCTAGTTTTGTAAGGACACAACCAATCCTGGTTCCCTCAGCTGTTAGCTTCCCATTCTAGGGAGCAAAAATAGTCAAGTCTACTCATTTAAAGGGAGACAACAGGGGGAAGTCAGGTCAAATCCAAGTGGTAACCACAGCCTGGGGTCACAAAAGCAGATTTTAAAGTGCTCATGAGGGGTGTTCAGAGTGGGGTTAAGTGACATGACATGCTCACCTGAGAGCTCTCAGCAGGCCATGGTGGGAAGGCCTCACACCACTGCTCTGCAGAGACTTCACTGATGCTCCAGAGCTCACTGAGAGCTTCAGACTCTGAAGGTACCTAATGAGCAAGAGGAGATGCATGAGCCACTCACACCAGCCGTGCTACGGTACGTGCCAGGGGGAGTGTTGCTCTAATGTCACCAGTGATAGACTAAGACAGTTGAATGAATGTTTTTGAAGGGTTAATTGCAGCTTTTTAAGAGCTATTCATAGCTCACTGTTACTGCCATCCTCTTCTGTCAGACCTCACTCTATTCACAGTCATATGTAATGATTGGGGATTTTCACTATGCTATGAAATTAGTGACAAGTCTCTACAATGACTTTGCTCCCCACCTCCCCACAGGGTAAGCACTCCTCTATGCCGCTGGCTGGAGCAAGACAACCAAAAGCCCATGTGCGCTATGAAAAGAGCTGGCTACAGATGATATTTGACTTCCAAGTCCCAGCTCACATTGTCCTCCTCTCCTTCAGCCTCTCCCACCGAAGCCATGCAGGAGACATTGGTATCCCAAAGCTTGACACCCTCCGCCTGCCCCTCTCCCAGCATGCTGCCAGCTCCCCCCCTTGCACCCCACACTTCCTCAGCCTCCTGCCAGCGGATGGAGGTAGCGTTGCTTCATATCACCTAGTAAAGAGACTATTGTACAACAGGAACACCCTAGCGACACTTTGCCAGGGCCTCTTGGGAGGGGTATGAAAGCCACTAGACAAGTTCCAGCTGTTTGCGAAGAGCTGCACAGCTATCCCCTGGGAGGCTGGAGAGCTCCTCCAGCTCCTAAGCTCTGTCTGCTTGCACCCCACCCGCCGCAAGCAACCCCCAGGGACATCCCCAGGACCCCCTTGGCTTACCCAGGCTTCGCCTGGCAGAAGGCAGCACAGATGCTGTCCCTAGAGTGCGAGCACTCACACCTGCCGAGCGATCTCTTGCGCCGCTTCGGGGGGCTCCCCAAGCCATAGGGAGCGGTGTGCCTGTTAAAAACAAAAGACATCAGCTATGCAACTACCTTCTTTATTAGCCACAGGTTTATAACGCAGTCCTGGGAGGCAGCCAAGCCAGTGCCAGGATAATAAAAGACTCATCTATAGGCATAAGGTGAAAAGGCCACTGATAGGTCTAAGCCTTTAAACTCCAGCTCCTCTCCCACCTACTGTTTTCTCCACCCTACCCCTCCCAGGGAGATTACCAGTATGTGCTGGGTTGCAAGTGGAATTTTCTCTCCTTGCAGCAGCCCAGACACCCATTGCAAGGGTCACCACAAGTGAGCTGGCAGCGTGGCAAAGCGCTGCCCCAGTCCCCCAGCAGCAAGCAGCCAGCTCCTCAAGCACCAAGATGTCAGTGTTTTCCCTCCCCACCTCCGTGGGTTTTAACACGCAGGACATGGTACAAATGAAGATGTCTCGGGGCCATAACAGGTTCTTCTGATCACAGCATGCTTTCAGAGCTGTTAGCACATTCCCCGCTCCATCTCTGATAGCAATCTACTCTCCCAGAGGGTTTAGGATTGGCAGTGTCTGCAACTATTCTCCGAGCAAGCAGCGAGTTGTAATTGCACGTTAGTAAGCATGATTATAACCACACCTGAGTACATGTGTTTTGCTACAGTGTGATGGCCATTGGTCTGAAACAGCTCGGAAAGCTGCTTTAGCATTCCTGAGGGCAGTACTTGGCAGCCACAGGACGTTAGTGCCAGCCCACCACTGTCTCATTAACAATGCTGGCAGCCAGCAGCCAGGCTTATAGTGCACAAGTGGGTAGAGAAACTTTCTGGCTTGCAGCTCTAACACCTCAGAGTTGTTTTCGGCTTGCAGAGGTACAGAAAAGGTCACAAAAAGATGAGCCACGGAGGAAGCAGCGCCCTGGGCTTTCAACCCACTGTACTGTGTGTTATACTGAAACTCCTGAACAGAAGCACAGCTTGTCGCTATCTAGGTTTTGGAATGGACTGGACTTGCAGTGCTCTTCAGAGCAGGTGCTACAAGAGCCTCCCAGAACCGGGACCCTTTCCCACCTTCCTCTAACCTAGCCCCATCCTCCATCAGAAAGTACAGTCACTTACTCATCAAGAGTTGTGTCGTCCCCCCACCCCCCAAAAAAAAGCTATGTTCCTTCTCACCCAGGTGTGTTGACCCAGATGATATCCAGGTGACAGAAGTAGATGCATTCTTTATCCAGCCAGCTATTGCAGGAACATCGCTTGGTCCTCGGGTGCACAGCCATAGGGGACTCCAGAGGAGGGTGGCCCATACCTGCAGCAGAAGGAGGAAGAGATGAGTTGTAGGCTCAGTGCAGAGCGCTGGAGTGCCCGTCCGTCTGTCATCTCTGCAATTACACCTCCCGTAAGGAGGCGATTCAACGTGCAGGCGGTT